TTTAACTACTCATTTACTTTAGCCAAAATAATCAGAATTCTAATGCTTCTGTCCAGAGTTTTAAATAATTCTGTCATTTTTGATCTATTTTCCAGGAAGTGATGGGTCTGTCCTGAGTCATCTAAGTCTCTTACCATTTGTGGCCTCACTCAAGTAGGATGTAATTATTGGTCCATCCTAAGGAAATGATCGGGCTGGTGTTGGCTTGCTTAACCGTAACTGCCTCTCTGACCTGCCTGTTCTAGGGCTGTACTGAATGTACCTAATCACCCAGCACATTGATGCTGTTCAGAGAAAGGGAAAACAAAGCTTGAACTGTATGAAAAGACTATATCAATAGTATTAAAAGGATAGGAACTTCAGTGAAGGAGTATAGCCATTTTACCACTTAGGGAAAACAGAAAATGTAAGCTCTGAAAATAAACTTGAAGCTCATGGCAGTTGAACTGTTTGACATCCCCCTCATTCTCCATGACCATAGAGGGATTGGTCATTATTTTTCTTCTTCATGAAACCTGTACTGTCCCAGGAGGTAGATTTACTGAGGGTACAAGTTGTAGAAGCTCAGTAAGTTCCTAAAACACATGGATATTTTTAGGAAATGTAAATTAATAATAAAAAGAAGAAGTAGAAGTGAAACCAAGTTTTCCCAATGGAAAGATTTCTGGGAATCAAGAGATGGAAGGAGTGAAGATGAGTAAAGGGACGATGTGAGTTTAGAGAAAGAAAAGTGCAGTAAAACAAGAGAAGATTCAATCTTGGTAGTGCTGAGCAAATTATTGTAGTATGCCTCCTCACCATATGCTCATTCCAAGATGAAATGAGAAATTAAGATGCAGAACACTGGGGCTTCTCAAAGGGATAATAGAAAAGAAATCTGTATCATAAAAATTCTTGAACAACTACATCCAACAAATAGTCTTTATCAAAGTTCAGTTATTACACACATTTATCTGCCTTATTTATTTGGAATGATTGTCTTCAAATGTATCAAATCTTTACAGTTTAATATCCTTACACTTGCTTCTCTTGCTTACGTAAGGTTTACTTGCACAAAGTCTGTTTTGCTGAGGGGTTATGAATGCCTCGGATTATTTGTTGTCGTTTTCTTTTGGCTATGAGAATCTAAGAATCATGATGTAGTGTTGCGATGTAATGCATATATACAACTAGATCATTAAGAAGAGGATGTTAAATCTTGAGACACACATTTGGATGTAAATTTTTTTCTAGTGAAATTAAAAAATTTGCATGTAATTTTTTTTTATGTACAAAAGTGTGAAATACATGTTATATCACAGTTTGAGTGATGTATTTGTATGTTTATATTGAATAACAGGAGCAGCTTAATATGTTACAAAGAGTATTTTCTTAATAATAGCCATAGATTCAGACTGGATTCATTTCTATAAAGGTGTGTGTATGTGTGTGTGTGTGTGTGTGTGTGTGCATGTGTGTGGGTCAATCAAGTTTACACTGAGACATATTATTAAGAGAAAGTTATTAAAAGGAAGAGTGCCACGAAGGTGACATTAAAGACTGAAGTATATAACAGATATTTATAATTGCCAAATTCATAATTTGCTAGTTTGGGGGATTTAGTACATTGTGAGTGTTTAATGCCTTACTTTAAAAATGTTCACAGTATTGACATTAGAACATGCACAATTACATGAGGAATATGGCATGTGAAGACCTCATTTAAAACACTCTCACAAATAAAAAACTTAATTTTTGACATATTAGCTTCTTTGTTTTGTCTCAAAATTTTGCAACAAGAATTTGAAAGATACTGGTTCCTTCCTTGGCTGACCATATATTGATGGCAAGGCACCTACTACTTTCTTTTTATTAGTACCTGTGTGTAGTACATAATGTTTACATTCTTTGCAGGGAGTTGGTACATGTGCATAACACATATTAATTCTTTTTCAAAATCTCTTTCCCTCCCCTCCTTCCATCTCTTGATCCCTTTCCTCTTTGAAAATAATCTCTGTCTCTACTTTCTCTTCTCTATTTTTTATTTTGCTATATTCTGGGTTTCTCATGAGAAATCATGTGATATTTAAACTCATGTATCTGCTTTATTTCATTATACTCTCATTTATTTAACATTATGCTCTCAAGATGCAGTGATTTTCCTCCAAATGACTCCAGTTTATCTTTTTTTAATGGCAGACTTGTACTTCATTGTGTGTAAATACCATATTTTTTTTAACCATTTATCTGTTTATAGACATATAAGTGACTTCCAGGATTTAGCTGTTATGAATTGTGCTGGTATAAAAATGGGTAGGTATGTGTCATTGTAATATAATGTCTTTAACTCTTTGTATCTTTGTATATTTTGTGTCTCTATCTCTTTCTATCTCTATTCTGTAAGTTTTTGATTTTTACAATTTGTTTGTTCTACTTTTCAAAGATTTTTATTAAAAATTAAGGTACAAGGCGTACACAGGGTCATGATCATCAGTGTCACTGTCCTCCACCTCCAGATCTTGTTCCTCTGGGAGGTCCTCAGGGGCAACAACAGGTATGCAGCTGTCATCTTCCAAGATAACAGTGCTGCCTTCTGAAATTCCGCTTGACCTGGCTGAAGCTGCTTAACAGTTAACCTATGTAGTACACTTTAAAGATAAAAAGTGTAATACAGTAAATGCTGCATAGCCAGTAACAGTTGTTTATCATTATCTAGTATTATGAACTGTACATAACTGTGTGTGCTACACTTTTATATGACTGGCAATGAAGCAGGTTTGTTTACACTAGCTTTACCATAAATATCATGAATAATGTGTTGTGCTATAATTTTATGATGGCTATGCTGTTACTAGGCAATAGGAATTTTGCAGCTCCATTATAATCATATAGGATCACTGTTTTATATGAAGACCATTATAGAGACATCACACAACTGTACTTTGTTTAATCTAATCTGTCTCAAATATTATCACTTCAACTTTTGAGTAATGTAAAAGTTATTAATAATGTATTGTACATTATTGTTTTTGTACTAAGCATTTTGTAAATCTAGCAGGTATTTTATATCTACAATACATGTCAGTTTGGTCTGGGCACATTTCAAGCGCTCAATATCCACATGTGGTTAATGGATACCATATTGACAATGTGCCATTAGACTAAGAGGAAAGTATTGTTTGTTTAGAATATTGAAGTTATTCAACGTTAGACTTCTTGGGATAGTAACCTTATTTCATTAGAAAAATAAGAGTTTTACAATTTGGAAGAGATGTTGTTTACTGTATTTGAGATAAAATAAATATTCAGAGAGGAGATTCCTGACAGTAGCTTAGTGACTATGGTTTAACAGTGCTTCTCACACACTACATTTTTTGAGCCAGTTGTAGTGATAAGAAATAGGAATTAAGTTCCATTTATTTTTAAGGAAGCAGAACCACAGAATATACTAAATTCTGCAAAAGCTCAAGCTCCCTTCTCATGATCCACCTGCTGATTCCAATCCAAGGTACAGTTACCAAATAATGAGCAAGCCAAATCAGACAAAATATAATGTGTCCCCGCATTTTCTTGCCTTTTTAAAGCATCTGTTTTGTGGGTGTCTGGAAGGGCTCAGTCTTGTCCCACATCTCTATTTTTTTTGTTTGTTTGGATCCAGGATAAAATGGGACCAAACTTTTTATACATAAGAATATTTTGATTCATCCAAGGTTATGGAGGAAGACAGCCTGGGGCTGTCACCTTCATGCCTCAGAGCCTAACAACCATCCTGCCTCAAATATTGTGATCCATTGACAGGATGGTAATTTATACACACCATCTTACAATAGGCCTTTCACAGACCGCGGAAAGAACTCCCTCCTCATGTAGTGCTGAGCTAGATGAAGAAGTGTGTGGTCCTTTTCTCTAAAGCAATTACTAATCATCTTTCAGGGACTCAGTCATCTTCCAGGGAATCTTCTAACTGCAGTCATAGCACTAGTTTCGTGTTCTGTTTTTTTTTTTCTTTAATGTTGTTCAGGTGAAAATAACACCATTCACTCTTATGCCCTTATGTTTTGAATTACTAGGCAATATAGACGGGAACCATGCCGACTTGAAAATAAGCTTGTAGAGATTCAGACGATACTTAAGCAAGTTTCTAATATATTATTTAGTTAAAACGATTCTTCCCCTTCCCTTAATCATACCCTGTGAGCCCCTCCATCCATCCTCCTATTGCTGAAATTGTAACAACCTTCGAGAGATCACTCAGAGGTCAGATCTTTTAACTCCTTTACACACTGCAGATGGCCACATCACCTGGTGCAGGTAGACCAGTCTTGGCCGCCATTCTTGGAACAGAGGTTTCTAGGAGGCATCAGAGATCAAGTTTGTTGCCCCAAAACTGTAGGTGCCAAAGGCAGTTGGACAATCGGTCATTTCCAGGGATGGACAGAGAGGGCGCACTTCCACAGACCCTTGCTGAGCCTGGATGTGGCGGTGGGACGAGTCCGCGGGAATGCGGGAGCTATTCTCACTGCACAGCCCGGTTAGATGTAGGGACACTGGATGAATAAAGGAACATCAAGAGACCGAAGGGTTGATGTTCTGGAGGACACTGTAGAGCAGATCCCCAGAAAGCAACTGCGGCAGAGTTTGAAGTTTCCCTAAAGTCTCAGGGGGGCTTTCCCTTCCCTCCAGACCCGAGTATCTCCGCCTGCGGGCTCCGAGCCGCCCGACCCGGCGATCGCCGGCCCCGCAGCCCGGCCGGGCGGCCCAGAGGGCGGCGGGCGGAGACTGCAAGGCGGGCTCCGCGGGCTCCCCCGCCCCCTCCCCGCGGCTGCGGGGCCAGTGGCAGGAGCGAGGCTCCCGGCGCGGGGGGCGTGGGATGGGGAGGCGGAGAGCGGGGCGCCCGCTGACTAGAGCCGGCGCTCCCTTCCGCAGGGTGTCGGGCTGCGCGCCTCCCGCGCCCCGGGAACTTCAAAGCGGACCGTGCCGTCGGGGTCCCGGCCCGGCGCCCGCCTGGTGGCCATGGCCCCCGCGCTCCGCCCGGCGCTGCTGCTGCTGGCCGTGGGCGCCGAGCTCTCGGCAGGTACGGGGTGGGAGCGGGGAGCGGTGCGGGTAAGAGGGCGTCCCGAGGCACGGCCGTCTGCAGGACGCGGGGAAAGCGCAGGTGGGCCGAGGGGCGCGGGCTGAGGCGCGCGTGGGCACCCGACGTCTGGCAGCCCGGGGTAGACAGGTGCGACGTGGACGGAGCCCGGGCCGGAGGGAGAAAGAGGAGCGTGGGGTGTGGGTAGCAGCGGAGGGTGGCTGACTGAGCTGGGGGCAGTTGGCCCCGGAGGGAGTAGGCGAGTCTTGGGCGGTGCGTGCCTGCCTGGCAGCGGGGTGGCACCGTGAGCTGACTCCCGGAGGCTCGCGGGGCTGCAGGTACGCTCCGGGGCGCTGGGTGCCGAGCCGAGCTGGGCTAGAATGGTGGCGCGGTGGTGGTGGGATGGCGATTTAGGGTGAGTTCTAGTGCGTGAAGGATAGCCCAGGAGCCTCTTGTGCCAGGCTAGGGAGGCAGGAGTACGAGCTTAAATCTGCGTGGGTTGCAACGCATATTGCTTTCGAGGTACGATTTTTCCTCAGAGTTTCAGGGGAAAAAATTCTGACAGGCGCCCTAGCGTTTATAACAGACAGGTCTGTGCCTTGATAGGTTAAATAGAGCCCCTGACCCAAGCTAGAATCCTGACGTTTCTTCACAGGGTTTACTAGAAAGTGGGGCACATGCATGTTTGGTAAAATCAGTCAGCTGTGACCAAAGACCTTTCGTCTCGGAAACTATTTTCATTACATTGTTCTGGATTTTATAGACCGGGAACAGATTCCCTGCTAACTCGTTCTTTAAACATTTCAATCAGAGATTAAAGACATTTGCACATAAAAACCTGGTGTTTTTCCATAGAGCTGTACTTTGTCCGAAGCTGATTTTAATTCATTTTTGTTTTCCCAAATGACAATCTGTTTGACATTAATAACTGGGTAGTTTTCCTCATAGTGACATGTGCAGGAGAATGTTTTGAATAGTATGATTGCTGTCATGTAGAAGATTTTAGTGTTTCATATGGCCTGGGAGAAGCACTAAATACAACATCCATGTAAAAAATTGATCACTAGAAAGGACTAATTGATGATATCTGAGAATTAAAGCATTCTAGTTGTCTTTTAGGAAATCAGAATTAACCTTGAGCTTGTCAGGAACACTGTGGGACAGGGAGGCATACGTGCATTTCGAGTTAGGAAGAAAAGTGACCACGGGAAAGCCTGTATAAGAAACGGGTGAAAACGCTATCTTGAGAGTCTGAATGTGCTCTTGACTAACAGAATTTACCCCCCAAACCACAAAAACCCAAACACAGTCTTTCAGTTATCACACCTTTGACTGGGCACATATGAAATTACTCCTATAGACTGACTTTTTATGTACAGGAGCTAATCACTGGGCTACAGGCATTTTAAAAAACAGAACCAGTTGTTTTTTTAAATCTAGACTGGAAATGTGTATTTTGTTGTGTGACAGAATCTACAGAAAGTTTCAGAGACCCTGAGAATACTGTACCAACATAATAACATGCCTTATTATGTTCTTGACAAGGCATGGAAACTTTTGACATTGAAATGTGGAAAAATGAAAAAATATAGATCTTCCATTCATGTTTGATTGTTTCCTCAAAATTGGAAATCTAAGAGAAAATGTTCAATACAGAGCTAATGTGTCAATATAGTAGACAAGTAGCTATTAAAGTTGAACCTTACAACAACCTTTCCTCTACAATGCAGTTGTTCTTAAATTATTTTAGGAAACTTTTACTTCTTTTGTGTCCCACATAAATAATGTCTATTGTTATCTACATTATTAATTCTAAATTTTCAGAAAAGTCTGGTTATATGGTAAAGGAATTCATGGTAGCTTTAAAAAAAATAATCTTTTAAATTGGTTTTCTTATATGGTTGCCTCCCTCACTTTTGACCTGGCCACTTTTATAAATTACAGTGTTAATCATACTGGCCATTTAGGAACATGTATTTGCCAGTGGTGGAATTTATATGAGCAGCTGTTCTTGACATGATGACACAGTAACACTTTGAAACAGAAACCTCCAACTTCATTTTGACCCGGCTGAGCATACAGTCTAAGACTGTAAATATCTGAAAACATGATAACCAAGAAACTTTTTTGTGTTGGCTGCTCTTCCCTAGCCTCTGTCCCTTTAAAGGTGCCATGTTGAGAATCATAGAGGGTAAAAGCTTGGTAGAAATTTACAGACTATTTATTGGTCTGGACTAGATTTAAAAAAAAAAAACTAGGTTACTCTGCTTATCTAGGTTTTAGATTCCTTGAAGTTTGATAAGAGTGACCTGGAATCACCTCACAATAATCATTATTTGTACCAAACAAAGAATTGGTAAAAGTGTCCAGGAGATCTAGACCTTGAAGTTGTAATGTGGATATGATGTGGATTTACTCTTTGTGCACACTCTTCCAATTTCAGGAAACTTCTTTATTGTCTGGTGAGGAAAGATTTATTGGGAGTCTACAGAGCTATTTGTTGGAAAAAAAGTGGAAAGATAGGTGTTCCCTTTTATAACCTGGGTAGAAGTAGGGTTTTCAGTTGGTGGTGAGTAAGCTCCTACTCCAAACAACAATTAGCAGTTGTCACAAAAAATTGTCAGTAATGTTTCTGGAAGTGAAAGTGAAAGTCCAGGGCCAAGTTTATAAGTGCAGAAGATATTGGTACCTTTGCCCTTCTTTTAGCACAGTTATTTATGGGTTGATTGGCATAAATGTGGCAGGGGACTCCCTAGGAAGAAATGGGCAGATGGCCCTTGGGGCTGATTTTACATTGACCATACTGCCTAAGCCCATTATTCTGCTACAGACTTATAGGCATGGAAAGTAAAGAGTTCCTTTGCATTGCTAAAATCACGCAAAAAGTGAAGGATTTAAGGTGGGAGAAACTTTTTCACTTTGAAGAACTAAGGATACTATTACATTTTTGACCCAAGCAATAGAAGAATGGATTCTTAACGGGGGGTGGGGGTTGTTGTGGGGAGAGAAAGGGGCTGGCGACAGATAGTAGGGGATCAGTTGGGAATATGTTGTAGGTAAAATGCTGTTAGACTCTGAAGCAGATCCAGGTAAGCAATTTTATGGCTCCAGAGTTCAGGAGATATGTCTGGAATAAAGGTAAAGAATTTTGAGCCAAGATCATTTACAGATAATTTTGGAAAATGTGTTAATAGGCTCTCAGATTTAGCAAAAACAGCCCAGAACACCCAGTTAAATTGAATTTCAGATAAAGAGTGATTTTTAAAAATATAAATGAGTCATGGGGCATATGTATATTAGAAACTAATAGCTGTTTATATTCCAGATTAACTGGGTAGTCTGTTCTTTTATCTGGCAACTTAACATGAAATAATACTGTGATGAGATGAATTGTTCCTGATGCATATAACTCCTGGCTTTTTCATTAAAAAAGAGAGAAAGGCAGACCTATTTTCTCTATTTTGTCTCTGAGAACTTGTCTTCTAGCTCTGCTAATGTCCCCATGTGTATGTCAGGATGTGTCACTCCCAGCTCTTTGAATTCAAGTGTTACTGCTTCTTTGTGAACTGGAGGAGTACTTAGCCCTTCCAGTTGGACATAATTATCTCAACATGGAGGTTTGTGTGGAAGAGATAAGGATAACTCTCTAGACTGTCTGGAAGTGATTGTTATATAAAAAGAGTTGGTTTTTCCCAAATTTTCTGTCTTTTGAAAGTGATTGTTATTTACAGATGCACTTTTAGAGCATATTGCTTTTCAGCAAACTTTCATGTGTTTCTTTTTTAGGGAAAATGCTTGCCAGGAGTAAAAATCTAATTGGTTATACTTTTTCTTGGTATGTTTGCATCTCATTATAAATAAGAAAGTCAAGAGTAGAGGAAACTGGACAGAGTTGGGGTTAGGGAGGCTATACAATTTGTGGTTGTTTTGGAGCCTGTTTTTAAAAAAGTGATTTCAAGTCCTTACGGAAAGGGGCCAGGATGCATAAATACCAGCCAAAGGCTGTTGAGTTCCTGCCAAGTCTCCACCTGCAACTATAACTGCCAACTGATTAGTATTGTCCTTATTTTAAGGTTTGTAGTTTAGAGTGACCTACAAATGAACAACTGTAAGCATAGACAACTTTAACAAATATGTTTACATGTATATACAGTTTATTTTAATAAATGATAAGAGAATCGATTTCCAAATATAAATAATAAACAGAAAGGAAAAATTCTAAGCACAAGGAATGTGTATCTTAGTATATGTGCTGCTGAAGGTAGCACATGTATGATATATCTTCTTTTATCATTTACATCTGGATTTTCCATTGCTTTGACCTTCTAGATTTTGAATTTTTCATTGTCAATAGTCACAATCTTGAAATTTATCATTACATTATTTAAGAATCTAGGAAATCTTCATGATATAGAAATGACACTTTTACTAGACGAACCTTAGAATACCTGTATTGTCTTGACTTAGGTGCATCCCCTCAGTCAAGAGGGGATATCTAGAAAACATGGTAAAGCAAGGCTGTTGTCCCCTTGTGCTTTGGCCCCTAATTACATGAGAGAACTCCAATACATTCCTTTTTTCAAAACTCTTAGCAACTAAGTAGTCTAAGGATAAAGAAAGAGGGATTGTCATAAATCAGAACCTTAGATCCTGACACTATGATTCCATCTTTTTTTTTATTTTTAAATTTTTTTCCCCATTAACTTTATTGGTACATTTTAGGTATAAAATATAGTTACATTCATCATTGAGATCTTGTACCATTACATGAGTCTCTTGGTTCTTATTTTTTTTCCCCTTCCCTTGCCCTCCCTTCACCCCTCCACCCTTCCCTATTTGCAAAGACCTTGTTTCCATTTCTTTCCTCTTCTCATATTTTTTCCTCTCCCTTTTTTCCCCTTCCCTACCCCTCCCAATTTCCCTGCTCTTTTAGACCTTTTCTTCCTGTTACACAATATCAGTTATACATTTTAAAATTACAATATTAAGATCTAAGAGACATT